ACTGGGAGGTGTATGTTAAGGATACAAGACTTTAGGATGTTGAAAAGGGCTGGACTGAGGACCCCACCATGTGGCGTTCCATTTTCTAGTAGCATGTGCTATGATAGGTGACCTTAGAATCTGACTTTGGCTGTTCTGTTCCTGAAATAGTCACCTATCCAGGCCAAGAGCTTTCCTCTGATTCCCTTCTGGTTCAGGGTCTCCTGAATAGCAAAAGGATTTGCTAATTCAAAAGCCTTCTCCCCGGTCTAGGAATACTACCACAGATGTGACAGTGCTAATTGTGCTTAAGAGCATGACTATGCTGTATGCTGTGCTGATGCCCTCTGTGAATCCATGGAGGTGTTCACGTGCCGGTCCTATTTTCCACTAGAGGTTAGTACCATCCTCTCGGCTGTCTTGCCCAGAGAGCTGAGGAGAGGTGGGGCCTTACTTCCCTGGCTCCTTTGGTTTTGGGATAGGAACTATGGTAGCCTTCTTCCAGCTCTGAAAGTTTCCCAGGACTTGTTAATGATTTGCTGGAATGAGCGAGAACTATCTTTACAGGTTTTTCTTAGTTCCTCAGAAAAAAAATAACATCTGAAATATCGGGTTCAGCTGAGCAAGTCTGCCTAGTTGTAGCCATTCTTGGTTAGGCTGGCAGACTGTTGCTGCTTGTTCTTGCAGAGAACTCGTGCTCCAGTCTATTTGCCCCTGATTGAGGGTCATGGTGTGTGCACCTCGGGACTGAGCGGCTGTTCGCTCGTCTGACCTGTTGCCAAAATTCTGTAAGGGTGATTCAGTTGTCAAAGGACTCAAACCATTCCAGCCACTTTTTCTGCCTGACTCTTTTGGCAGTTTTCTTGTCATCCCTTACAACTTCCTTTAGGAAGGCTAGGTTGTCAGGGGTTCTTTGCCTTCGGAAATGTTTTCTGTACATGTTCACTCTGTGGTTGACTTCTTTAATCTTGTCAATAAAGTACAAGACGTTTTTATAACTCCTGGACCAAGGCCAAGTTTTAGGTATAATTTATGAAGCTGGTTGATTTATGACATTGATAAGTCTGGCTTCAAGCACTTCCACATCTTCACTCTGTGGAGGATCATTGCATCTAAGACAGTAAGCCAAGGCAGTCTGAAAGGCTTGCCAGTTTTTCTATTGATTATTCTTTTCCTCATATTAAACAGTTCAATGTATCAAATTTTCTCTTAGTACAATTAACCCAATGTCAGCGGGTTTATTTACTGTCCCCTTTAGATTTTAGTGGTTTTTGTTACATACAGATGGCTCTACGTGTGCTCAGCAGCAAGGAATCTATCAGTTGGCCCTAGTGACCGATCCTGATTTCCCCATTCCTTGAATTGGCAAGAAAATGCGTTTTTCTTTCCAATACTACTAATATTGACATTGTTATTATTCTTATTGATATTGTGATTATAACATTGCTATTAAGATATTAATAACATCAAATAAAATAAAAGTGAAGAAGTGAAGTTTTCAAAAAATGAAGGAAAAGGGTAAACAGATGAGACAAATAAGACTAATAGCTGACTCCTTGGTGACTAAGCACTTGTAGAGCCATCTATGTGTAAAGACAATAGATAAACTTCTTATTACAGTGGGCATGGCATTGTAGGCTTGCCACCCGCGCACATGGGTTAATTAGTGTAAGTTTATATGATTACTGATATGTTTGGTTGCTCCCTTTATTTTATTCATATTTACTGTTGCGATTTTCGTTGTAACATCATTGTTTTCACCTGCATAGTTTATCACTACTAGTAAGTGCTTTGTTACTACTTCCTCTATGAATGAATGCCTAGCGTTGCAAATGTCACAGTACTGGTGCTACACCTGTATTTTCTGATACTTATGCTGATACGTGTGTTGTGTGGTGCAGCGGTAGCGATCTCGTCTAGCAATCTTGCTGACCTGCGTTCGAATCCCTCGCCACCAGTGGATGGTAACCCCGGCCATTCCTTGCACACAGGGGATAATTTAGGTGCAAAATTAAACAGACAGTATGTCACACCAAGAATATCCATTGTAACAAATGGAATCAAACTAAATTTTAAAAAATAATTAATTACTGGGCTAATTGTCCTCTTATTCACACATATATATCGATTACCTGCTGTAACCGTAACCCTCTTGGCCACTCTTTGATTTATAACTAAACAGAACTTGCTTTCATGACGTCCTCTCAAAATTCGATATCTCGCTCAAGTAAAGCTTAGGTTTATGCTTCTTTAAGTTCAAGGTTCCGTTAGATATGTAACATGTACCTAATGGGCGGTAGTCGATTCTATTGCAAATAATAACATCGCACTGTAGACACCTTGCCTCGATTGAACTTATGTAGCTAAACACCAAATTTAATTTTAAGTCCGGCTCACGGCCGTAAACGAAGGGGAATCTGTGTCACGTTGTTCCGGTTGATATATAACACGTAACTAACTGATGGAATCAATTCATATTACTCTCTCTTTTTTTGACATCTTACTAAGGTGAGGTGACCCTCCTTGCCAAGATGTCTCTTCTTGCTACTGAATATTGCTTGTTACTTTGAAGCCTCTGTCACACTCGCTACTCTGGCACGGAACGACCTGAGCGATCAACGAATCACCAGACACCAACGGTAGCAGAAATTGTATCCCGACGCACCTATTGCAGTGTTTCAGGTGTTGCAGACGGCTCGAGGACGAGCCTTGAGCGTGGCCGAGCGATGTAACCAATACCCCGTAAGGCCGGATGGTACGCCTCACACCTCTGTCCCCAGCAACTGCCATCATATCGTTAGTTCCTCCTTGAGTGGACGCGGGTGTCCGGACTGCTCCGAGGAGAACAACCACATAAAAGGAATACACACACACATGTACACACACACACACACACACACACACACACACACACACACACACACACACATATATATATATATACACACACACACACACACACACACACACACACATATATATGTATGCACACACACACACACACGCACACACACACACACACACGCACACACACACACACACACACACACACACACACACACACACACACACACACACACACACACACACACACACACACATGTATATATGTGTGTGTGTGTGTGTGTGTATATATACATATATATGTATATATATATACATATATATATATGTATATATATATATATATATATATATAGGCGTCGAATAGTCAAGATGAAGAGGTAGACTAATACGGCCGTGAATAATTTCATGTTTATTCGCAAACGTTTCAGAGATACATCCAATCTCTATCTTCAGTGCTGTGAAATTGAACCAAAAAAGTGCGTGTTAGACAACAAAGATGAAATTAATTAATACAGAGGTTCTTTACTTTAAAAGTTAATAGTAAGAAAAATTTCAAAACAATAAACTCCACAAAAAATGACGGAAAATGAGCAAACAAAATTAACAATACAAAAAAACACAGAAAAAATAGACATACGAGTATATACACAGGAATAAAGATATGTAAAAACTAACCAAACATGGGTGATGGACAGGGGGATGAAAACGGCTAACTAGTGAACAGGGTGGTTGCGGTAGTGTTGTTGTTGAGTTCAGGTTTCATCTTCCGGATTAGCAACGATTCGGAGATGATGAGGTCTAGACGGGAGGAATGAGAGGATAGAATTTTGAAATCAGTGTTAGAGAAAGGATGTGAGTGTTGGTGAGAGTGCTCTCTTATGGCCGAGAAAGATGGTCTGCTCAGCGGTAGTCCCGTACGAAAAGACTTGCCTTTGTGTTCCATTATGCGGTGACATAACCATCGTGAGGTGGACCCCACGTACCTAACTTGGCAGTCAGGACACCTAAATAAATATACAACATTGGAACACAAATCAAAGTGGCTTCTCGTAGGCTGTTTTAAGAGATTTGCAATAGTGTTAGAGTTACAGAAGACGAAAGTGAATTTTATTTGCGGGTAGTTGTTTTGTAGGAGTGTTTTTAATTGTTTTCTAACTTCATAACTCAATTTTCCCATAAATGGCAGTTTTACATATCTATGATCCCTTTTAACAGTTGGTACAACAGGTTGATCTAAGAATTTTTTACAAAGAAATGCATTTGTTATTCTATCAAATAGATACAATGGGTACCCATTATTTACAAAGAAGTTTTTTAGAAAAGTCATTTCATCATGAAAACTAGACCAATTGCTACAAAGATTATAGGCTCTATTGATGAGTGTTTTTATACTGTTGATTTTATAAATATATGGAATATTGCTGAGAAAATGAAGGCCGAGGCCAGTAAAGGTTGGTTTACGATAAATGCTAGTATGGAATCGGCCATTATCATTGGTAACACATGTGTCTAAAAAGGGTAGTTGGTTATTCTGTTGCATTTCACATGTAAATTTAATACTTGAGTGTTTAGAGTTAAGATAATTTAGAAATAAATTTACATGGGAGGGGTCTTTAAACAATACGAAAGTGTCGTCAATATATCGACGGTAGTAAATGGGTCTAAACTCAAGTGGGCAATGTGTGAGCCAGTTTTGTTCATGGTGACAAAGGAAAGCATTGGCATATGAAGGGCCAAGTGGGGAGCCCATAGCTACCCCGTCTGTTTGGGTGTATAGTTGATTATCATATGAAAATACAGAGTGGTGGGCTGCAATAGTTAGTAATTTTTTGAAACTTTCTTTTGTTAAACCGAAATTGTCAAGATGGGTGTTTTTTATGTTGTTAGTTATAATATCAGTGGTTTCTAGGAGGGGGACATTGGTGAACAGTGATTCCACGTCAAAACTTGCCATAGTGACGGGTTGTTTAAGGTCAAGGGATCTAATTTCATTAGTAAAGGCTGTGGAATTTTCAATGGTATACTGATTGGTGGTTAAAGGAGATAAAATGGGAACCAGAAATTTAGCCGTATTATAATTGAAGGTGCCAATAGATGAAATTATGGGTCTAAGTGGTAAGTTATGTTTGTGTACTTTGGGGAGACCATACAGTAATCCGGGTCGGGAGCCAGAG